TGATTTCAGCCCGGGTCCAGGGGAGGACGAGGCAGGTGGGAAGGGCTCGCCTGTGGCTTGGCCACAGGGCCGGCCAGCCCGCCTGCCCACCTACTCACCTGTCAGCGCACACAGCGCTGTTTAAACCATTGCTACTCAAAAATCGCCCATAGGAAACATCGCTATTCAAAGCGAAAAAAAGCCCCAAAAAACTCATCGCTATTCGGTTTTGTCGTTAATAGAAGCACTCACTATTCGAGGCACCACTGTACTATAATTAGAGGTTGTTCCTTGTGACAAGTGTTTGTAGAGAATCAACCTAACAGTGCAATCTTACATCTACTTTAAGTAAATAGGTTCAATAGGGTCTTTTAGAAAAGTGTGCATCGTATTGCAACCTTTGTTGTTACTGATGGCAGTAACTGATGGCATAAACCTTAGTGGCAGAAAAATGGGTGAATAATTTAGTCTGGAAAATTGGTGTTCAGTGGTGAGACTTTGGAATAACATCTGAAATAATGGGACTTTGGTCTAGAACAACTGTACCAGACTTTATTACATTGTGATTGTTCATGGCTACGTGTTGTATTTTCAGGATGTATGTGCTTGACTGTCCTTGGAGAACTAAGTGCTCAGGTGAAAATTACAAGCTTAAAGTGCTTAGTCAGTATCTACTAATGTCTGTGTGGCTTCGCTACAACTTCTGAGTTAATGTTTTCAATTGAACTGCACGCAGGGGTCTCAAACATGCAGCCTGGGGGCCATTTGCAGCCCACTGGATGATAGTTTGCGGCCCCCGTCTTGCCTGCCCCCCCAAAGTGCCCACAGGTCCTCTGCTGTCAAGAGTAAAAAAAGAAAAACAACTCGCCTTGCTCGCCAGCTCTTTTCCAAGACAGCGCCTCTTGCCCCCTCCATCCGGAACTGCAGTCTGCCAGCCAGCCCACCTGTCTGCCGACTGGCAGGCTGCAGTTCCTGAAGGAGGGCACAAGAGGCGCTGTCTTGGGGGAGAGCTGGTGAGTGAGGTGCACTGCCAGCCCTTTTCCCCGAGTGCCTGAGCTGCCGCTGAGCGATGCCTGAGAGCGGAGCTCACTCCTGGCCCATCCTCAAAGAGCACCTCCAACAGCACCGCCAACAGCAGCTGCCGCCACCATCTCTTCCAGGGAAGCGTCGTGGTGGCTCTCTCTCTCTTGGCACCCCCAGCACCAGCCCAGCTTTCTCCTCCTCCTTTTCGTCCTGCTTCAGCCACCTCAGCTCTGGAGGCTGCCAGGGCTCGCCTCGCAAAGTTTGCTCCTCTGTCGTGGTGGGGGTAGCTGCTGCTGCTGAGTGCGCTTTTTTTTTTAGGGGGCCCTCAGAGGAAGGTTGCTGGACCTCCATGTGTGTGTGTGTGTTTGTGCATGTGCGCGTGCCCGCAAACACCTGTGGGGGCGCCCCATTATGTTTACTTTCATGGGTACCGATGGGGGCTTTTCTCCTTTGCAAGGTGATTCTGTGAGGGTTTTAAAAAATTTTATATTGTGCCCTCCCCCCCGCTAGGCGGTTGCTGGCGCTCCCTCCCTTCTCCACTTCTTCATCCTGCTGCTGCTGGTGGTGGTGGTGGTAGTGAAGAAGGAGCAGGAGGGGGTCATGGCCGGCGAGGAGGCTAAGCGTGCCCCTCCTCTTCCTTGGAGCCCCAGCCGGGCTAAGGAAACTCCTGGCCGGCTTCCTCAGGCTCTTGCTCCGCTTGCCGGAAAACCTGATGCGGCCCAGCCTCACCCAGACTCTGCCTCCAGCGGCCCCCAGGTAAATTGAGTTTGAGACCCCTGAACTACAGTAATCCCACTAGATAATAAGTCTTGAGAGAATTTCATTTCTCTTGATGTTTTTCATAAGAGACTAAAAGGTCATCTTCTGAAGGGACTTCAAATATAGATCAAGTTGCTCATTTGTTCTAGAGGAGTTGTTTAATTCCCTGTGGACTTCACAACTTTAGATCCGTTTGCTCTTGGCAAGGCTTCCAGCTGGCTTCAAAATATTGCTGTCTTACCTTTGTGAATTAAAGCAACCTTTCTGCTTCATCCTTCCATGATGGTGAAATGTATTAGCATCAGAAATGTTTTGTAGAGTCATTGATCTGAAAGGGTTTTCTTCTTTCTCATGTGCACACACTTCTCTCTCTCTCTCTCTCTGTCACACACACATACTCAATGTCTCTTGATCTCCCTGCCTCCACACACCCCACACATAGAGGCTGAAGTTACTGAAGGTAGTTTTGATGGTTACCATTTGAAATGGAGTTTGGATGGGAAAGCTCATAACATGGTGATGCACCGCTATACTGCATGTTTTTAAGTGCTATTTTCGCAGAGGTGGTTGATTTGCAGAGCTTTTGCTTTCCGTAGCAGTCATGTGGAACCATAGCAATTTTGCTTTATACTGAATCAGGTGATTGGTTGACTCATCTCTTAGATGTCAGTCTTTCCCTGCCCCATCAGGGTATATTAGGGATAGAATTTGGGACCTTCTACATGCAAAGCATCTGTTCTTCTACAGACCCAAAGCAGTTCTCAGAGGTGGCTCCTAGACACCCCCTTCAAACTTAGAGAGATGCTTTTTCTGATCTGTGCTGGGAAATAAAGTCTTTCTTGTCTGGCTTAGGAGGTGCTAGCATTTCACATGTATTTTATAATATGTTGGCACTACATATGATCATGCTTTTTGTTGAGGTATTTCTGCAATTAACTCAGATGTGGAAATTAAATGAGAATAGCCCAGGGCCTCAGCTGTCACATCTCTGAAAGGGAATTGCTGACATAAATTGTTGGGGGCAGGGGTAGTTATATAACACTAATTTTTAACAGGATAAATCTGTGAGAAGTTTCCATAGGAACAGCGGTTCTTTGCAGTTTAGTAGTTCTGGTATTCGATGATTTTTTTTAACAGTTCTGTATTAAAAATAGTATATAACAGTGTTCTATACATGAAAAAAAAAAAAGATTTTTGTGTTATGTGCAATCAAGTTGTTTCCAGGTTATGGCAACCCTGTGAAATAATAACCTCAACCATTGTGCTCAGATCTTGCAAGCATAAGACCATGGAAACCCAGGTTAGCTTTAAGTAAAATCTGTGGAATGTTATTTCTGGAATTTGGAAAGATGGAATTACAGCCCTAATTCTGAGAATTGCTTCAGTTCAAATATCTGATATATTTCTGTATTCATGCACAGACTTTGATGGGCTGTTTTCCAGCTGTGTTCCAAAAACATTGGGGATGATTGCTGACTAAGGGTTTCTCCAAAAAGCAGAGGTCAACCATGCCTAACTAAGCCCTATGATTTGACTGAATAAACTAGATACATGCTTAGCTTTTTTCAGTTGAAATCAATGAAACGATAGCATTAGGTTGAAATGTAGTTTTTTCTGTGGGTCCTCTGTATCCCAAATAACGAGGGTTGTAGTGTTAATGCACATGCTTGGGACTAAACGCCACTGAACACAATGAAATTCCTTCTCAGCAACTAGATGCACAAACAGCAGATCATTAGCTCATCATGGCAGCTTTCACAGATAGTTCTGAATGGATACTGGCTTTTATGTTCGAAGGTGTTCTGTTAGAATTCAAAAGAGTTACAACTAGAGATGGGCACTTACCATGGTTTGGTGGTTCAACGCAATGCAGATCAGGCCTGCTGGTGTTGCGCTGGTGCCCTGGATCCTGCTGTCTGCCTCCTCAGAAGCAGCCCCACCTGCCTCTGCCTCCTTTGAATGGGAGCCTGTGCAATAACCTGCAGGTCCAATCCACCACACTGTGCTGAACTGCCAGATTGCAGAAAGTGCTCATCTCTAGGTACAGCAATTCTCTCAGGGTCATAACACATTTATAGTATTCACAATCTTTGACCATAGCTCCTAAGTGTTTGCCACCATACATTCAAGTATGGAAATAGCTCCATTCATTATTTAATAAACAGCTTCCTAGTTCCTGAGATTGTTGATGATACATTTGTTACTTCAGATGATACATTTAACATGTTTTTAAAAAAGAGATGCTCTTTCAAGTCATGAAAGATGTCTTTATCTTGTATTTAGTGTGTGTTGTTTTTGTGATCAGTCAGTGCAAGGTATGTACTGGCTTAATTTGCTAATCTGATTGCTGAAGCATGCATCGCTGAAGAAATCTGAGAGGGGGAAACAAGATAATCACATGAAATAAGCAGTCTCCTTAATGACTAGTTTGACCATTAGTTGACAGCATCAGTTTCAAAGAGCTAGGGTGAAACTTTTAGCAGCCTTTTGGCTGAGATCAAGTGTGTTGCTTGCATGTAGAAACAAGTGACAGGCATGGATACCCTGCAGACCACACCCACAATTTTTAGTGTACCCTCCCAGATGCAAAGGTCTGTATTTAGGGCTTTGTCAACACTTGTGAATCAACTTTCAGAGTTCTTCTGATATGAGGCTTTTCGGAACATTCTTACAGAGTCCAATACAGATGTTTGAACTCAGCAAATGAAGCTCTGGAATGCTTTATGGCCCACAGCAACCTGTAAAGGTGGTGCCTTCCCATGTCCCCATTCCCAGCAGATAAATGCCTGTGTATAGTTCAGGTCACTGAATTTTTTCTTTTTGCAGTCACTGGCCTTTAGGTTCCATTAAAAAGCAGGAGAAAGCCCTACCAGTTTGTACATATGGTATTAATATGAAGATAACTGAGAAAACTGTTTTTGTAAAACAGACATCTTACATTTCCTTGCAACATCATAAACCACCATTATCAGTAACATAATGAATGAATGTTGGACTGTTTTCTCATTGCAGAGCTTCCATTATTTTGCCTTTGACATGACAGCTTTTCAGTATGCTTCTCTACCATCTGGACCACTTGCTTATTATGTTTTGGCTGTCATCTTCCCATTTTCATGCAGTTCTTTTAACAATACTGGTATTTCTCTCATAAAAAGCCTGACATAAATGTTAAAATAATGTTTTTGATTTTATCAAGGATGCTATAGAATCAGGGATAGAGGAGACACCAGACCATACTGAGAAAGCGTGTGAGGTATGTATGAACAGTTGAGAAAGTGCAGCAGGGAGAATGCTTTATTGTATCTGGAGAAGAGTTGAATTCTTGTTTCTTTAATCTCCAGCCAAGGGTAAAGCACTTTAATATTCTGATAAAATTTAGTACAGGAGCATGTAACTTCTGTTTCTCTCGAGTGTTTTAGTTTGGCTGGTTGTGCTCTTAGTTTCCACCTGATCACAAACTTCTTTTCATATGTACCTAAATATTATGGGCAGTTATATAGTTCCATGACACCTGTATTCCAAAGCAGAATTGACAATACTAGGTTAGTATCCTATTCATTAATGCAGTGACCTGCTGCAGTTTCACAGACCACAGTCTTCTATAAATATGATGCTGAATATTTACTATAGTATTTGTTGTATGCAGATATCAAGGAGGCACCTTACTTTGGGGACACACACAGGAAATGGCTGTGCCCTCCCCTTAAGGCATCGACTCAGTATATAAAGTGGTTTGCGTGGGCATGAGATACTTCTCTATATGCAGATTTCTCAATACAGTGGTACCTCGCAAGACGATTACCCCGCAAAATGACGAATCCGCATGACAATGAGGTTTTGCGATCGCCATTGCGCTTCGCAAAAGTGTTTCCTATGGGTGATTTTCGCTATACAATGTTTCAGTCCGTGCTTCGCAAGACTTGTTTTTTTTTCCGGGGCCGATGCTGCGCAAGTCGATTTTGACAGCAAGGTCCGCAACTCGCAAAATGGCTTCCCTATGGGCAATTTTCGCAAAACAACTATTTTCCCCATTGGGACGCATTACATGGATTTCAATGCATTCCAATGGGGAAACGCTTTTCGCAAGACAATGTTTTCGCTAAACAGCGATTTCAATGGAACAGATTAACATCATCTTGCGGGGCACCACTGTATTGTATACAACTTCCAATTGTCTGAGCTGGAGCCTTGGTCTCTAAATTGCATGATAAAGAGATGATACATTTCATGTGCTGCCATTTTGTAGGAAGCAGGCATAGCCAGTTGGCAGCCCATGAGCAAAATGTGGTCAACAAAACCACTTTATTCAGCTTCTTGTGTATAAGGATCAGGCTTTCAGCACCAACAAATTTTGACTTGAGATTCTTGTGGTAATTCTTATGCATTTTCAGTTTTTCATAAGAAAATTATATTCGTTACATCCCTTTTGCTTTGTGTATTCTCCAGCCAAGAACTGCTTGGTTGAGGATGATGGCCCATAATAGTGTCCTGATAATCTCTGAACAGTAAAATATATTTCAGCTACTTTCTGGAGAACCCTGTAGTCCAGAAAATACAGAAATGGACAACCTCTATATTAATATTGAAACAAGTTTTCAACGTAGAAGCTTTCTATAAGAAATAATGCACAGAGTCAGACAAATTGCGTAAAGGGGGGGGGAGAGATAGCAGGGCCACCCCAAGCTGTTTTGCTGTCTGAAGCAAAACAAAAAACAAAACAAAAAACCCAAGATGATTCCCCTCCCATCCTACCCTGGAAAGCTGAGCACAAAGAAAGTTGGATCTTTTTTCAACACTTGCCAATGAAATGTCCTTTACTCCACCCAAAGGTAGCTGGCTAGTCTGAGCAGTGCAAGAAAACCATAGACCAACAGATTTATTCCCTGGTTACCTGCCAAGCCTCTCTACTGTTCACTGCTTGCCAGCTGAGGTGGCTGCCTCACTCAGCTTAATAATAGACTTAGCTCTATGAAAGTTTGTGACACATTAAACTTTATTTGATGCTCCTTTCTACTCACCTTCCCCAGCAGATCTAGAATTTTTCTGACCCTTTCACTTCTCAGACAAAATACACAGAACTGAATCAGCACCAGGCCTTGGAGGTGTGAAGCTCTTTCTTTCCAAAAGCTTTTGGCACGCTGCAATGTAGAGTATAACCAAAAGGATCTATATGAAGAATATTTGTTTTTTGTTTTTAATTTCTTTAGTTACAGATGGATTCTGTGATTGGTCCTACTGAAGAAATGGGTGTTGATGTCACTCCTGTACCTGAAGGTAGCGTAGCTGCTGTTGTTGCTGAAAGTGACATACCTCACACTGAAGAAAAGGCAGATGAATCTCAGGTAAAGCCCAAGAGCAGCCCCTCCCCAACTTATTTCACCATAATCCTATTGGCAATATGCAACTGTAATCAACATTATTCAACCCCCATTGCAAATCAGAATTATTGTCAAACTTTACATACTTTCAGCTGTTTTCAATGAACAAATCAAACAAAAGCTATTGAAATAGCTCAACACAATTAATGCTTCAAGTGGTTTCCCCAAATTCAATTGAAAATGTAACTGGAATCCTGCAGTCTCAACATTATTCAATCATTTCATGGCAAGCATCTTTAGTACTTAGTAGAGCACCTTTTTGCTGTTATGACCTGCTGCAAATGAGATGCATAGCCAGCCACCAGCTCTGGTAGCATTCCTGAAGAATCTTAGGCCATTCCTCATGACCAATGGTCTGAAGTTCAGTAATATTCTTGGGTTTGTATGCTGCAACTGCCTTCTTCAAATCCCACCAGAGATTTTCTATGGGGTTCAAGTAAGGTGACTAATGGCCACTGTAGAATTTTCCAGGACTACTTCTGCAACCAAGCCTTGGTGGAATTTAAGGTATGCTTGGGATCATTGTCCTGTTGGAAGGTCCAAAGATGCCCACGTTTCAGCTTCCCCACAGAAGGCATGATGTTTTCTCCTAGGATTTCCTAATACTTCAATGAATCCATCTTGCCTTCCACACACTGCAGGTTTCCAGTGTCAGAGGATGCAAAGCAGCCCGAGCATCACCAGCCCACCATACTTAACTGTAGGCAGAGTGGTCTTTCCAGCATAGGCTTCATTCTTGTTCCTCCAGACATCCGCTGATCCATCAGGCAGAAAAGTTCATTTTTTAAAATCCACTCCAGAGCAGAATCCCAAAACTTCTGTGGCTTATTTATATGGTTTTGAGAATTTTGGAGCAGACTTTTCTTGTGCTTTTGGGTCAGCAGTGGTGTACATCTTGGGAGTTCTGGCATGGAAACTTTCTGTGTTTAGTACTGTATGCGCCTTACTGTACAAACAGAAACCTCAGTGCCTGTTGCCACCAAGTGTTCCTACAGGGCTTTGGCAGTCACTCAAAAGTTTTATCAACCTGCCTTCTTAAAAATCTCATTGCAGCCGTTGATAGCTTTCTTTTTCTGGCTTAAATTTCTTCTTTCTTCCAGGTACTGTAACCCCCGTTCGTTTTAACTTTGAGCTTGCAAACTATGCTTCCAATGTTATCACTAAGAACATTCAGTACCTTCACTATCTTTTTTTATCCTGTTCCTTGCTTGTGAAGGCGATGATCTCGTAACTTTTTGGACCACTCTTTTGACTTAGTCACATTTCTAACATGAAGTCAAACGTGACAGTCACCCAACCCCTAGCCAGTTCAGGCATTTCATGTGTTTGTCGTATTGTGCTATTTCAATTGCTTGATTTCTTCATTGCAAGCAGCTGAAAGTCTGTAAATTTTGACAATAAACTTGATTTGTAATGGGGTTGAATAATTTTTATTACAACTGTACCTGTGTGCGGATGAAACTATGTATGTCACAGCAAATTGCTACTAATAAACAAGGTGCTGCTTGTATTCTTGGTCTCATGCCCTTTTGCACAACAGGAGTGCAACTGGTACCTTAACTAATAACAAGACACCACTGTGACTTACACAATTTCATTTAATGCACAGACATATTGCCAATAGGATTCTGGCCTTTTAATAATAGGAAACCGTAATTCTACCAACCCCTACCAAATTGAGACAATTTCAGATGGCAGGGGTTGCCAAAAATAACTGGGGGTGGCGGCGATTAGAGGAGGAGCTGAAAATTATCTTTAACATCCCAGCAATATCACATAATTCCCAGGTTTCTCTGGGAAAGAGAAACAGTTAAACCAGTCCGTCTTCATGTGAATTTGTGCACTGCAATGGTGTATTTGATTGAGATCCTCTTCCAGAATGTCAACAAACCTTCAAACTTTTGTCTCCTCCCATTTTATCTCCCAAAGGAAAACCTCAGCAACATCCCTTCAGTGGTAATAGAGCCTGCATCAAACAATGAAGGGGATGGAGATCATGAGGTTATAGTGAATGAATCTAAAGATGCTGTGGAAGATACTGGCACTCAGGACACTGAAGCTGGTGAACCATTAGAGGCTACAAATGAGCCAAAAATAATCAAAGAAGTCCAGCCTGCATCTTCTGAGGAACAGCCTGTTTCAGCAGATGATTGCATGCCACCTGGCTTCCTCTTTAAGGTTTAAGCATTTATTATTTATACTTCACTTTGATGCCGCATCACCATACACAGACTACAAAGAACAGTGTGTATCACCTCTCATGTTTTTAAGATATTCTGAGGAGGAGCCTTCTCATTCCTACCACTCTCAAATTCATTTAATGAGGAAACAAGAGAGGGCCTTTTCAGTGGTTACTTCTAGATTATGGAATGCACTCCTTTAAGAAGCCATGTTGCCCCCCCTTCCTCTTGTCTTTTGTTCAACAGGCTGGCTTTTAACTGATTTGTTATAGAGGCATTAAGGTGAGACATTATGGAATGGTAGTCATTTCAGGGTTATGTTTTTTAAACAGTGATTTTGAATATAATTATGTAATAGTATTGTGATATTTTACCATTTTTAATGTTTTTAAAATGTTTTAACTGATTTTACAAACAAAGATTGTCCACTAATTGTAAGGTAAGTAATCTGAGAAAGATTGGTAGTGGTCTTTTAAGTTACTGTTTGCTGTCTTCCAGAAAGACACTGTTTGGGCCCTTGGTCTTTGTAGTTCCCACCTTTTCTTTGGTAGTTGCTTCATGGCAAAGTAGAATGAGTAGACTGAATAAGGGTGAAGGGGTCCTTCTACAGTTCCAATTTAATCTTGGTGGGACAGCAGTCCTCCCCAATTGAACAATTGACTGACTATTGAGTGCTGCTTCCTGCCAGAGGATGAACTTCCCTGCAAAGAAGTGTGGAGTGCTGCCTGTTGATCAAGGTGACCGTAAGACAGATAGTCCCTTTTTTGGGGGTACACAATTTACATCAGCGAGATGCAAAATCTCTAATAGTACAAAACTGTAAGACAATTATGATGATTAAAACACAATCTACATTCTTACAGCATACCTATTAAGAGATACCAGATGTCTGCAATAACAAGATTAGAAAAGGATGGCAAATTCCCTATAGTCTGCATCTTGGAAAGGTTACTTTTAAGGACTACAGTAGTCATACTAGCTGGGAAATCTTGGAAGTAATTTGTCCCGAGCTCTTCTGTGCCCACTGTATCCAAAAACATGGAGCCAAGTAAGAAGTGTGTTATCCCTCTGGAGATTTCTACGCAAAGTGTCATGCTACGTATCCCAAAGGTGGGCCTAATTGTACCTGACCACACTCACTAGTCAGGTATTGTGCAAAGTGTCATGCTACGTGATAGGTGCGTTCACGTATCCCAAAGGTGGGCCTAATTATACCTGACCACACTCACTAGTCAGGTATTGACCTGCACATACAGTAACACTTGCTTTTAGGCACCGATCATCATCTTCTGGAATGGACAGAGAAGGGACTGAAAAGGAAAGGACATATGTTTGAGAACATACGCTCAAATCCAACGCCATCTACTTTCTCTGCTTCATAGGTCGAAGCTCTACATGACTTTGAGGCAGCCAACAGTGATGAGCTGAACTTGGTGCGAGGCGATATTGTACTAGTAGTCCCATCTGAAGCAGCTGCTGATCAGGTGAGAGCAAAACACATTTACTTCGCCGCATATTAAAACAGTATCTTCAAAGTCTGTTTTACTGCTTGCATTAATTCATAGTTTGTGTTACTTAAAGGTTGCAATGTTTTAAACACATTTACAATCACAAATATACCTGCCTGCAATAGCATAGATAATTTTAGACTGGCAATGCTGGAAATAAAAACAAAAACAGATCACTTACAGGATTATTACTTAAAATAATCAAAAGCAGTACCATAACATATTTTAGTTCAAAATATCAGAGAACTTGTGCATAAACTTTAAAAACATTCTGTTTGATGAGTGGAGAAAGAAATAACTTTTGATATGTGTAAACTATACAAATATACACACACCATCTGTGAGGTTTTTACAGTAATGGATTCATGTTAAGACTGAAAAACTCTCTTTATCTTGTAGGAGGCAGGCTGGTTAACAGGCATTAAGGAATGTGACTGGCTTCAATACAGAGATGTTGCTACTTATAAGGGACTCTTCCCTGAGAACTTCACCCACCGTTTGGAGTAATTCTCAGTTCAAGAGGCATAAAAAGTGTTGTAGGAAGCTCAGTCCCTACATCTGAACCTCTCCAATGCACAGGAGCCCACTTTTATAGATGAGCCATCAGGGTTTACAGACTGACGTCAGAAAAAAACTTGAGTGATACATATCAAATGAGCATGATTGCAAGAAGTTACAAGCTAGCATATTCCGAAGCAGTATGTGAAGAAAATGTCCTTATTTGTGCACATATACGTGGCAACAGGTTTGTTTGTACTTTGTCAGAGCTATGGTGATCCTGTAATCTGATCCTTTCCCTTGCAAATCTCAGTAGCCTCAATACCAGAACCTTAACTTCTCTGCACTAAGTGTATTGTATTGAGTTGTTGCTCTGCAAAAGATTTGATTTATTAATCTTGTAGTACTAAGGTCAAACTATTCTAATTTCAATGTGTTTAAAAAAATTACAAAACTTTTCAATGTTATTTTCAAAAATAAATACATACATATAAGTATATACATACACACACAACTGCAGATGTGTTGTATGTGTATATAGAGCATAAGGAGCCAACTAGTTGTATATATGTCGAAGATAAGGTGAGGAAAGGTTCAAGGTAAAGCTAGACAGAAACTGGCTGATCTATACACTTAACTGTGGTACACAGTTAGGCGTATATTTCTATCTGCTTCTGCTTCCCAACTTAACAGAGTAGAAAGGAATGTGAAATTACGTATGTAATGCATTCTGGAATGGTACTATCATATTCTGGCCTTGGTTTGTTTGACCACCACTGATTATATGCACTAGCATATAACCCATTCATTGTTGTATTGTTCACACTTGCTTTTGCTCTTGTCTGGCATTACAGTAAAGAGTTCTGTTCCAAGTGGAAACTAGCTGCTCCATTGCCAAACCATTAGGCTACACTATCTATATCCATAATGCAAAATTATCATTTGAAACCGACAAAGAAATTATCAAACTGACACTCAAAGCTGCTAAACCACCAAGAGAAGGCATGGCTCAGTCGCCTCTATATTACCAATAGCTACAGCTAGGGATGAGACAATTCTGATAAAGGGGACTATAATTTGTAATTTTATTGTCGTTGTGAATTTAACCAGCTGGGTGAGTAAGTAAAAATCTAGGTAAAGATGAATGAACACTATATTTTCACTATACGTATTTATGCAGCACATGAACAATCCTTTGAAAGTAAAATATGTATCCTGTATCAAAAAGTCATATGTAACTATTGTTTTTGTGTTGTGTCATTCAAAAATAAACCTTTGATCAGCTCCATAAGAAGCTTGCTTGTTTATAATCATTATCACCTTTTTACATATACAACAAAAATAAGTAGATGATAGAATTTGTGAAACATGTTTGCCTGTTGTGCATCCAGTTGAAAATGAAAGACACTTCCCCAAAAATAGTACCCGCTGCTGATGGTGGTGTGGACAATTGAGTGAAGAACTCTGAATCAGTCCTGCATTCAGGATCTCGTTTGACCATAGAAACTCACTAGGGAGTTGGCAGTGGGTAAAACACTCCTTAAATTTTACACATACCTTTAAAATCCTACTAGAGTTACCGTAGGTCAGATGCAACCTGAAGGCAACAAGAAAATCTGTGCAGACTTTAATGCTACCTGTTCTTAAGCACAAGTATGAGCTAAGTATTTTAACAGTGCCTCTCACCACAGATTAAGGCTGCTAGGACATGCAAGCCAACCTCATCCCAAAGGGCCACATTTTTTTCTACTGTATGCCTGTGTGTCATATATAAGGACTAGCAACTGCTGAATTCAATATTATAGAGATGAATATAGAATCACAAAATCAACTCTCTTTTAAACATTTCTCAGCCACAGTCACATTACTCCACAGATGAGGCCATCCAGCTTATTGTTCTTTCTGACCAGAAAGCCTTCCGAATTCCAGTATTCTACCTACTACTGAGATGAATGCAGTTCAGGGTCACAATGTTGTTCAGGGTCACAAGTTGCTCAACCCTACACAGTTATAGTCTAAAAGATGTTATGTTCAACATAATTTCCCATGTAAAAACAAATATATGAACGTTCATTATTTTATAGCAAACATCTCCACAAGTGTTTAAAAACTAAGAATCTAATCTATTAATTATGCTAAAATCAAACTGTGATTTAAATATTGAACACAATGCACCCTGCATTGTGCACACACAAGCACACCTATTCACCAGCTATTTAAAAAAATAATAGATATTGCCCTTCAAAGCTATTGTAAGTCTTTTAACTTATATCTATACAAAACAATATACAACATACCACGTTAACATAATTCCATCGTTAATAGGTTGGTTGCCAATTAATTAAATTTATAATTTGGCCTCAGACCCAGCCCAGTCTGTGTGCAAAATACAACTTAAAATTATATATAAGAGGAAAAACCCTCTCATGCATGTTGAAAATCTAAACTCATATTTGTAATGCCACATTTTATTAATGTGTTCCTTTAATTTACAAAGAGTGCGTAAGTCCGTATTTAAAAAAAGATATGTTAAAAAATAAAATGTAAAATTAATGGCATTAACAACACATAGCAAGTTCAAATCATCATTAAACAGAGACTTACTCTATATTACTTCATGTAGCATTAGATCTGTAAGTTAGATTTACAAGTACACTACCCTCCAGTGTCTTCATGATCATTACAAGTCAGTTTCATTCAAGCGTCACTGAATATATAATAGACAATACATATTTATAACAGACATGATTCAGTCCAACATATATACACAGATGTGATGTAGACTTGGTGAGGTATTACAAAGCACAGGAGCTATTTCCCTTGATCAATAAATAAATAAATTCTCTCTTGAGTTCCATCAGTAATTGAGCCATTGGCATCATTATTAAAGTCCCAAGAATAGCCACTTCTGAACATTCTGGCTTCCACTCTGAAAAAAGCCACAAACATACATTTAATAGCAGAAGATGACAGCAATAAAACTTCTATACACAGGGAACTGGAAACTTCAGGGAGAAGAACTCTTGCCTTTTCCCAGACATACCCATTTTCTCTGAACATGGGATTACTTTGTATGGAGGAACATTCACCTATAGGAACCTCATACCTGCCATCTGAAATGATCCAGAGACTTAGTGCTGTTTTACAACAGATATGCTGTTGTAGTAACTATACTGTTGAGAAACTGGTATCTACATGGAACCATCCTTATATATTTCTTGAATACAATTGAAAACTATATCCTTACAAAAAGCATAGCAAGTAAAGCTCACAAAAATAAAACATTGCCATGAAAATGCTTAACATGTACCAGCATTTTAACTCTTGCAAACTGCTGAAACATTTAGCAATGCACAATCTAATTCTCAGAGCGCATTCTAAACCAGCATAATCATAGAGCATTTCATAGGAGGGTATGAAAACTTGATTACAAGTTTCTGTATGAATCTAGGATTTATTATTACTTCAAAATTAACATTTCCAAAGAATCTTAAAACATAAGCAACTTGCCTGTTTCTGCTGTATTCACTGTACGACTGGTTTCTCACTATCCTGTTTTTCTTCAGATTCTTCATCAGATCCTGAAAAGGGAAATAAAGATTAAAATAGAACATAAATTAAGCTTGAAGAGGGTCAGAATAATATTTAGCATAATACATAAATTGAAATATTTCTTGTAGCGTTCACCTTTATTATGTTAAGTAGTCATGCATATTCATGTTGCAGGTTAATATTGCCGAGAGGCAGAGCCGAGAGATATGTAATAAAGAGGCGGAGTCAGAGTGAGTCTGTCGGAGTCAAGAGGGAGATGCGAGTGGAGAGGGAGATAGAGTGTGGTATTTGGGAGATCTGAGGTGTGTTTAGTGAAAAGAGTGAATAAAAATTGTTATATCAAATAGAAAAACACAAACACATTTTATTTATTTATTTATTGAATTTGTACCAATTGTTATATCAAATAGAATATTGTTATTTATTTTATTTATTTATTTATTGAATTTGTACCCCGCCCATTTAGTCAACCAACTACTCTGGGCAGCTAACAGCATATAAAATAATTCATTTAAAATATGGTACAAATAATATATCAATAGACAAAGACTCAAGGTGAGAGAACAAAATAAATCAAGAAGTGGCTGGAGGGAAGGCTTGCGTGAATAGCCAGGTTTTCAGTTGGCATTTGAAAATGCCTAGCGAAGGAGCCATACAGATCTTGGAAGGGAGGCCATTCCAAAGGCGAGGAGTCACTGCTGAGAATGCCCGGTTTCTTGTTTTTTCCTTCCAGGCCTCCCTTGGCATTAGTCTCCTCAGCCTCACCTCCTGGCTAGACCGAGTGATACAGTAGATTTGGGTGGGAGGAGGGGCGTTCTGCCAGGTTCTGAGGCCCTAAACCATTTAGGGCTTTATACGCAACCATTAGAACTTTGAAATCAATGCGGAACCGAATGGGCAGCCCATGTAAAGCGGACAAAGTGGGGGAGATATTATGATGTTTCCTCACCCCACTAATAAGTCTGGCCGCCGCATTCTGCACCATTTGGAGTTTCCACATTGATCTCAAAGGTAGCCCCATGTAGAGCATTACAGTGATCTAACCTCGAGATTACGAGCCTAAAGACAAACCTGAAGAAGATACTTATGAATGATAATCAATAGATCTGTAATCCATAAGCTTGATTTATTTAAAAGACAGTGAGGTTTGGACCTTCATCCTTCCATAAGTAAAGTATGTTGATTTAGGGATCAACTGGTGGCAGTGTGTGAAAAGGAGTATTGGTTTCTCTTCATGTGCTCTGGGTTTGGGGAGTCAGGCAGGGGCCACGAGCAGCAAACGCCACATTTCTCCTCTTCAATTCTCAATTAGTATAATCCAGAAATATTGATAAATGGTTTTAATGAACATGCAGCTCTTTTGCATTCATTATCTCTCAGCTCCAAAGGACATTAAACTTAAAAGAGCAACAACAAAAAAGAGTGACACTGGAACCCTCACTGCAAAAAATACTCTAGACTTCTGTTCCTAAACTGGAGATTTTTTTTCTTCAATTCTGACAATGAAAAGTGTATGCCATTGTAACTACTTGTGAATAAAATCTATAGTGACTAATACTGCTGAAAATCATGAAATCCAATAGAATAATGAACACCGTTTCTAAGAATCTGATTAGCAGCTGAAAAAAACATTTATGATGAAATGCCTGGGAAATATGTCCTTTTGTCTTTCTCAAGCTTCAAATCAAAGCACAGAGGAGTTTATGAAATGTTTGAAGAAATAAAAGCAGAAAGGATTTGGATTTTCCTCAAAATGCTCAAAAAGTGGCTCTCCAGTCACACACTTCTTTTATCTGTCCTGACTTGTTTACAAGCCAATTCCAAAAGCTTTTTTGTTTCGTTTATGAGTACATAATAAATACCATACATGGAAGGCTTTTGCTATTTTACTGTTAATGGCAGTGGGGGGGCACTGAGATATTAGACAAGCAAAGGATGCACAAACGATGTGCATCCTTTGTTTACTTAGCATCTCAGTTCGCATTCCCTCAGTCGGTAAGGCAGAAATTACCTCAGACTGGACTACCCCCCTTTCTCATTCAAAATCATCTTCCTGCAGCTGCTCAGCGGAAATAAACTGAATGATTTGCTATATGCTGATAACATTTACAGCAGTTTTTTTAAATTAAAAGCAACCTGTGATACTACTTTTAAGCCTTTCTGGAAAGATGTATATCCCCAAAGTTTATTCCCACTCTCTATAATGCATTATATTCTTCTATGTGTTCTATTCTTTCATCACCATTAGATGGAGCTAAAGAGAAATCATGCCATTATTAAATTAAATACAATTTTCTCACAATTCTTCAGAACTTGGTAAAATCAATCCAAAGTTCATATTGCACATCTTCTAGTTACTAACAATAATACACAACACTTTAACAGCTTTTCTATGCCAATGGCACATATCTAACAAATGTATTACATTAAGCCTGATACCAGAAGATTTAGGAACTACTACTTTATAACTTAAAAAACTCAATGCCTTTTCTCTGCGGGTAAACAGGATTTTCAAAGCTGACAGACACATTGCTCCAACATAGAGTTTTATTCTGCTATTTAGATTCTAACCGATCTATTTATTGTACCACACATTCTTTTATTTTTAAACTATTCCTCCTTTCTTGGAAGTGCTATAGATCAGTGAAGTTTTCAAAAGTGTAAATCTCAACAGACCACTCCACTTTTCATGTATCAAGTTAAATACACTCCCATGTTAAATCGAGAGGCATACAGAAATCTGTAAGATAATGATCTTTGCACATGCTCTTTTTGGAGCAGAACTTGACAGCATACTCAGATTTCCTAGTTAAGAGGAACTTCTTAGGGGAGAGTAGAGCTTTAGAATTTCTAACCTTTCAGATTGCAGAAAAGTTTGTGTCAGACTGTTTTCATGTCCTTCACAGCCCTTCTCTTGTGTTATTTTAGAGAGAAAGAAGCTACTTATCACCAGCCCTTCAGCAGCAGCTCTGCAAGGTTCATGCTCTACATTCTTCCATTACAAGCATGTTCCACATGCCCCCCAAAACCCAGCCCGCTATGCCCTGTAGGAAAATACACAAAAGATACTTGTTCCTCCAGCCCTATTGTATCCCCCTGCTTCAGAACCAACCACGAGATTGTAGTAACTATCCTTTTTATTTGCTGAGAATGCCACTGGGCTTTATGTGAGACATGAAGGTACTGAGGAAAATAATGTTGGAGGGCAGCATTTCTCCTTGCCATCATGACAACCTTCTGGACATTTCCAACCAGTATCACCTTTTCTTAGTAACACAAAACCACAATGACCTAATGAATGGAAAACAGAATCAATATTTATAAATACTGACTTTAAAAATAGCTTATACATATTGTTGAGGTTCAGTTTTTTTAGATGACTTCTTTTTGCAGCCTCAAAATTGAGAAAAGTACAAATCAAATTGTTCCTTCCACTATCTAGGTCTCTGAAAAATCACATTTTTCACTTACCCACTTCAGATTCAGGGGGGGAATAAAACTGTCCATCAGAAGGGAGTCCAGGTTGAAGAAGTGCAGCTCGCTCAGACGCATCCTGCACCAATAGCAGTCCTAAAAGGAAAATCGGAATAATCTAATTGTTCCACCAGTATCAGCATATAGTTCAACAAAGAGATCACAAGCATGAGTTCCTGCACAATTAGACTTCAAGGAAAGTCATATTACATTTACATTTTGTGAACCACAAAGTAGCATAATCTCTCAAAAACTATTGTATTCTGAACTTCCAAAAGGTAGTTGAGACCAATAGTATATATGAGAAAGAAACTTACTATTTTCTTCTTCTGCTTCTTGGGATAAAACTTTGAAATCTAGGAACCAGGTTTCTATCCAGGCAAGAATGAAAGATATGATGGGCAATACATAGCCAAAAGCACCTTGAGATAACAGCTTAAGGTGAGAAGAGGAAGAAAGAATATGCATTATGTAGAAAATTCAACAGAAAAGTTGTACCACTGAAAGATTATAAATTATAATTCACTGATTATCCATACCTTTGAGATAATTACTTTTGTTAATAAGAAGGCACTGGTTACCGCAGTTGTAAACTGAAAGAAACGTTAATTATTATGAATGCAAATTTCTTTTCAGATTCACTTTTATATTCCACAGTGTAACAGGTATGCTGTAATTTGGTACATAATGTTATAAACCTATCCATTGTAAATACAAATGGAGCAGCAGAGTTTCAAAGTGTATACTACACTACAAACAAGGTAACATGTAAAAACCACTTTTCCCCAACTTAAAAGTCAACTCAAAAGTCTGCTACTTACTGCTATTGCCCACCAGTGTCGCAGTCTGCACAATGCATATGCAAGTATCAAGATCTTAAACCGAAAAACTGCCAGAAGCTACACAGAATATAAATGGGAAAGAAAAGTCAATACAGCCATATTAAAAAGCAGTAAAAGCAACAACAAGAAGCAACAATTCATTAAGCTAAAATCATATCTGTGTCCTCTTCACTCTTTCACTTCTCTTTTCCCAAAGCATTATGTGGACAGTATTCTACATATGCACGACTTCCCCTCTTCACAGTCTTGGCTGTCATAAAAATCTTCAGTGCAATAAGCTGAACCTGGCGTTATATTAGTTCCAGTCACAAGCTTACTCTGCTCTCAGCCACCAAGTCCCTTGACTCCCTGCCCCTCAGCCTCTCTCCTAAGGCCCTTCCTCATTTGCCTTTCTCAACAAGAGGTTCCATTTTTAATTTTTGCTACATCAAGAGACTTTTCTCCAACCAAAAAGAGTTTTCATTTCCTTCAGCAAAAGCTGCAAACCACTTTAGATAGAGCCTGATTTTCTAACAAGCAACAGTGGTCATGAACATTATGGAATATCAAATTTTAAGATAGGTCTATGAGACACATTTTAAATAAACTTACAACTACAGCATTACAAACTGTTTTTGGCTACCAGAACTAAATTTATTTATTTATGTATTTATTTATTGGATTTTTACCCCGCCCCTCTAGACAATGTCTCAGTTCACAGTCCTCCTTCCACAAATTTCAAGAGAAGTGGGATTATTTAATGTCAACATTGTCAAATAAGCATAAACAAGTGATGTATACTGCTGCAATTTGCTCAAATACCCAGTACAGCTATCTTATAAGTTACAGATATGAAGGCCAAGGGGTGGGGGGGGGGGAGAGAAATGTGTTATTTTGTTACCATATAACTTTTTTTTGCCTCACCAAGAGAAATAATAGATATTTGGAGAAACAAACCTCTCTCCTGTATACAACACTCAATTAATTCCAATATGTGTCTGCATATTAGAGGTAGCAGTATATTTTTGACTAAACATGTATTACAGTGGTGGCTCGACTTATGAACGCCCCACTTATGACCATTTCGATTTACAAACAGCTCCAGTCACAAAATTGTACTTCGACTTGCGACCAAAGCTTTGACTTACGACTGAGAAAGGGAAGGTGGGGAAAGTGGGAAATTTGAACTTTCAGTTAACTGTTGGTCAGTGAAGAGGCTGCTTGTCTGCTACCTCATTCACCCCAGTGGTTAGAGTGTATGGGATACTGAGAGAGACTTCAGACTACCTGGCACTGTACTGTATGTACTGGTGTTTTGTTTTGTTTGTTTTTTTAATTTTTGCTTTTTAGATTTTTGACTTTTTTAAAACAGAGAGACTGCCTGTTTTGGGTGAATACACTGTATTTACTGTACTGTACAGGGTTTTTGCAGCTTGGGTTTGGGCTAGGTGGGGTTATGTTTCTGTGCTCTGATGGGTCTTGCAGTGTGGATTTAAAATGTGAAAACTGGGCTGTAATATTAAATTAAAATTAAATGTGAAAATTAGACTGTAATTTTAAAATGTAAAATTTATTTATTTATTTTTGCATTCTGTGGCTCCTAGGGTTTATGTACTGTGACCTCTCTTTTGTTTTAAAATGTGTGGGTTTAAAATGTGACTCCAAAGTTTTTTTGTTTTAAAATCAGAACATTTTCTGTGAGGAGCTGCTGTGTTGGCTGGCATGCTATAAAATGGAGTTTTGACTCCAAAGTTGTTTTGTTTTGAAATCAGAACATTTTCTGCAAGGATCTGTCTTGGCTGGCATGCTGTAAAATGTGACTTAGGCTCAAGTCTCCCCCACCCCAAATTGTCTTTGTCATGGTTTAGGATATTGAAGCTGAAATGTAATTCTAAATGGGATTTGTAATGGAATGGTGTAGAAGGAATCCATCTTAGTCTGTGTCATTTTACTAGAAGCAAGCTGTTTTCTCTTGCAGCTAGTTAGGAATGTTATCATGTAGATAGCTTGGCCAAGACCGAAGACGAAGAGCTGAGCCATAACATCGAGGAAGAATGTCAACAACACTTGCGATCCCATGAGAAGAGGAGGTGGAGAGAGATCGGCCGTCCTTCGTCCTGATTGGCTTACGTCAGTGGAGAGTGAAGAAGGAGGTGTTACCAGCATGTGAAGAAAATGACAGGATGTTACAGGGAGAGAGAGACTCTTTTTAGATTCATTTTTGGATTATTGGATGTTACCATGGATTTTTGAGTTTTGAATGGACTTTGGAGTTCCCAATGCTAAGATGTAGTTCATAGTAGGAGAACAGAAAGGGGGGCTTAGCCTTAGCTGCCTTTCTAGCTAGTAGAATTTTCTTATTTTAATTTTTGTAGCTGGAATTTGCTAGATTTCTAACTACAATAGATTATGGAAATGATTTAGAATGCTATTTTTATTTATTTATTTATTTATTGTATTTATACCCCACCTATCTAGTCATTTCGACCACTCTAGGCGGCTATGCTTTGCAACAAACTTTTGTTGCTTTGCAACAAACTGAATATCTCTAATTCTTTATTTTTCTAATAAAACAATAATACTCAAAAACTTATGCTTGGTCTCTTGAGCAGATAACCTGCTACATTACTTAATTGTTTTTTCTTGAAGGCCACAAATCAAGCTACTTTGAGTCCAGTAATTGCCTGAGTTTTGAGAGCTCTGGATGACTCTAAGACTCATGATTTTAACTTGGTTTTCTCAGTGATTTATTAAGTGGGAATAGACTTGGAAAAAGGGTGCCAGTGGGACAGCCTGGTTGAGACAAGGACTCATCTCAACTTAAATAGGGGTCAACTGGACTCTGAACCTCTCTATTCCAGCCTCAGCATTCTCTTAGGAGAGTTGAGAGCTTACAGTCTTCTCTCTCTCACTATGCTCTCTTTTTGTGCTGAGGGGGTCTATTTACTGGAATAATGGTTGCTGGTTTGTGTACCCTAGGAGCCACAGAACAGGAAGCTAAGTGACCTCTCTTTTGTTTTAAAAGGTGTTGGTGCGTGGGTTTAAAAGGTGTTTGGTTTAAAATGTGCTTTGTTTAAAAGGTGTTTGGTTTTAAATGTGTTTGGTTTAAAAAGTGTTTTGTTTAAAATGTGTTTTAGACTCCAAACTCTCTTTCTCCCCTCCCCCCGTCTTCTCTCTCTCTATCTTCTCTCTTTTTGTGTTTTTAACACAAACCTTTGTCGAAGGGGTCTGGGTGCCCCAGTGATGACCTTCTTTCTTTCCTCTTTTCCCCATTGTTCCTTCCCTCCCTCCCTCCTTTCCTGCCCTTTTTTTTTAACCTGAGTCATCTTAGGTTAAAAGAAGAAAAATTCTCCCCCTAGTGGTAGAGGATTGATTAACTGCTTTTGCATTTGTTCCTATGGGAACAAATGCTTTGACTTACAACCGGCGCCTCTACATACATCCAAAAAACAGCTAGAATTGATTAATCAGGATTCAATGCATTTCAATGGGAAATACTGATTTGACTTACAACCATTTCAGCTTACAACCATTTTCTGGAATGGATTATGGTTGTAAGTCGAGGCAGCACTGTATTTAAGGGATTCTCGTATTGGTGAAGCTGACTTGGTTCAAGCAAAGAGCAGGGTTAAAGTTTCTTTAAAGCAATTAAATTATAGGAAGCAAATACTCACAAAGATATCGAAGTATGAAGAACGGTAGTCATATTGAAGGACCTCTTTTTCTAATGTATTCTTAATACCCCCATTTACCTAATAAGAGACAAAATTATCCTGTTAACTAATTGGCAAGCATACCTCTAGTCACATACTCAATGTATAAATACTATATTTTACATTGTTAAAATAGTAAAGTTTAAATTTGATATTAATTAATTCATTCACTCACTCCTCCATTCATTCCAAAGCAATTTAATATAAAAAGAAACCCTCAATATATAAATAATCTCAAAGGCTTTCATGGGCGTGATCCCATGGTTGTTGTAGGTTTTTCAGGCTGTTTGGCCGTGCTCTGAAGGTTGCTCTTCCTAACGTTTCGCCAGTTTCTGTGGCCGGCATCTTCAGAGGACAGGAATCAGAACTCTGTCCATGCTCTCACCAGAGCACAGAGTTCTGACTCCTGTCCTCTGAAGATGCTGGCCATAGAGACTGGCGAAACGTTACGAAGAACAACCTTCAGAGCAGAGCATGGCAGCCCGAAAAACCTACAACAACCTCAATATATATATGTTGAAAAAGCTATATCTAAATTACAATTTTCAGCATAAGAGGAATAAGACCATTACAGTGGTGCCTCGCATAACAATGTCAATATATATATGTTGAAAAAGCTATATCTAAATTACAATTTTCAGCATAAGAGGAATAAGACCATTACAGTGGTGCCTCGCATAACAATGTTAATTGGTTCCGAAAAAAAACGTTATGTGAAAACATTGTTATATGAAGCACCATTTCCCATAGGAATGCATTGAAAACCGGTTAATCCGTTCCAATTGGAACGGATTATCCGGTTTTTTCCCTCCCCCTGCGGCTTGGATCTGACCCACGGCGGCTACCTCAGCCATGGTTGGACTCCCTAGAGTCCGGCCATGGCTGGGGTACCCGCCACGGCTCAGATCCAAGCTGCGGGGGGAGGGTGGTGAGATTGGGATGCCTTTCAGGCATCCCGGGCTT